GTTTCTCCACCTGTCATAGTGAGCAGTGCTGATTCATGTGAGGGGCAGAGGGTGAAGGAAGAAGCCTGCAAATGTGTGTGTGTATAGAAGAACTGGGGTGCAGGCCAGAGATATGTCACTAGGGACACAGTGGGGAGCAAAACAGGCCAACTGAATAAAATGTGCTGTTGAGGGGAGCAGCTGCTGAGACAGAAGAGGCCCATGTGGGTCAGCCCCCTGGCCAGGGATTGAACTCAGGATGTGGTGGTGATAGCCCGAGGCTTAGCCGTGGGCCAGCAAGGAGATCCCATGTGCAGTGTGTTTAAGTGCTCAGACCAGCCTCTGGCACCTTGTGCACACCTTCTTGTCAGCTCCAGGACACCTGTTGGTCTCTGCTGCGTCCTCCAGGGCCTGCCACTGTACCTGGCCTTGGCCAGATGCTCATGAAATACATTGCCTGGCTTAGACTGGTGTGTGTCTAGGAGGGCCGACTGGGAGATCGGGCTGTCCTCCTTTGGCAGAGAGGTGGCGATGGACCTTGGGGCAGTTTTGCTGGTGGGGTGGGGCGTTGAAAAGAGTCACGATCTGGCCAGCCAAGGTCTTCTGTCTGTTTCTTTTTCCCACTTAATATTCACCTTATGAGGTGGATATTTGACCCATTTTACAAATGAGGAAACAGGCTCACAGACTTTCAGGAATCTGGGTAAGGTCCCAGAGTGGGTACCAAAAGGGTGTGGGTTTCTGGTGGACTTTGGACTTGTTCTCAGGACCTGGATGCTGGTGGGCAGAAGCTGGACAGCTGGACAGCTGAGCAGAAGAGCTCAGGTGTCTGCCTGCTGGTGTGAGTGTGGAGTCCACTTCTGCCTGGTGTCCCCCATGGGGTGATCCACAGTTGTACCCTCAGCTCTTCAACCTCAGGTCTGAGAAGATGTGTCATTGACCCCAGAGGGGGCCACATGGCACTATGGAGGTGACAGCAGCCTCTAGCACAAGACAGTTTTGTTACCTTAGGGTGTACAAGTGAACGTGGAGTACACACAATGCACGCACTCCCCTTCAGTCACACACACGACACAGAGACACGTTATGCATGTGTGACCAGGGTCCAATCTGCCTGTTGCTGGCTGTGCCCACATGGGCCTGCAAGGGGCGTGAGCAGGGGGTACATCAGGAACCTGGGGTGTCGCCTCCACCAGGTGCTGTGTCTGGGGGCTGTTTGGTCTCCAGATACATTACAGCGTGACCCGAGCTCGGTTCCTCCCTGGCTGAATCTTCCATTATATGGACATGTCATGCCCTGTGCATCCAGATGTTCATGGTTGGACATTTGGGATGTCTCCAAAAAGGGGTGACTTCACCCCCGCCCCCATGTCATTTGGCCATGAGGATTCAACATGACCAGCAGACCCGATGGAAGCTTCTCCCTGAAACTGCAGGCACGGTGGGGCTGCAGGTGGGTGCTGAGCCCAGAAATGCAGCAGCTTCTAGAGAAGAATGGAAACCTACACAGCCTCATGTGGGGGTGCATACTGGGGTGGGGACAGGCAGCAGTCCCTGGTCTCTGAGCACTTTCCAGCGTCCGTGGTTGTGTCTGAGAAGTTGGTGCGCTGTTTGGAGCTGTGTTTTTGGAGAAAAGGAGACGGGGGCATCAGGGTGTTTAATTAAATTGACTTGAGGGGGAGGCGGGGGCCCCATGGCTGCCTCCTGGCTGGTTCATGCTAAAGCAACTGGAGCAAAAGAAAACTGGCAGTCTGTTTCCATGGCAACCACTCTACTTCCTGTCTCCTCATTGCCCAGCCTGGAAGTTTGGGCTCCTGTGCTTGTGCTTCGATCCCAAGTACCCATTGCTGGCACGTGAGGACATGCTGTTGCTTTGGGCTGGTGATATTTTTTTTTTTTTTGGAGACCTCAACCCTCCTTTCAGCCACTTACCCAGTCTTCTGGTGGAGTCAGCTGCCCAGCTCAGCCCTCTGGCCACCCCCTCTGTCCACCTCTGATTCTCCCTCGTGCCTCGCCTGCCTTGGACCTGCCCCATCTCCTCTGGGGACATAGCCCCTCCCACCTCCTCCTCGGGCTGGTCAGAGGCACAGGTGTTCTCCCAATTAGACCTTGTGTCCTGAGTTCCTGCCCTGGACCTGATAGAAGTCAGTTGCACAATATATGCCTGCCCCTGCTACCCTGGCCTTCATGGACCTTCCACACCCCCAGGCTACCATCATTGAATCTACTGTGGCAGGAGAGCAGGTTTTCCTGGTGACAGTAGTTTGGCCAGCAGATGGCTGACGTTTGGAAAACCCGAGTCACGTTATGCTCACACGGGTTTGCGGTACAGCTCCTGCCCAGCACGGAATGCCGGTGAGCCCGACACCTGCAGATCTGCCTCCTAGTCCCCTATCTGGATAAAGTTCTGAAACTGGTCAGGGCAGGGGAAGTTCTGGTTCCCCCCTAGCCCCCAAACCCCCCAACTGGGCTGCCCCAGTCACAGCAGGGAGCAGTATTCAGCCAGAAAGGCACTGCTCATCCCCAGTGCGGATGGACTTTGGAAAGAGCAAGCAGGCTAGACCACAGAGGGCCGGAGTCCATCTGGGGAGATGTCTAGAACAGGCAAATTCAGAGCTGAAGCAGATATGAGGTTATCTAGGGCTGGGGTGGGGGTGGCTGCTCATGGGTATGGGTTTCTTTTGGGGCTGATAGAAATGTTCTGGGCCTAGACAGTGGTGATGATTGTAGGATACTGTGAGTGTACTTCAGGGCCTGCTTGTGCGCTACAGTAGTTAAGGTGGTGAATTTTCTGTTGACTTTTACCTCAGTAAGGAAAAAATGTTGGAAAGAAAAAACAAAATCACCCCATTTTACAGATGAGCTGCTGAGGCTCAGATGCTTGGGAATTAAGCCTTCTAGAGGAGAAAGACGGTGCTATCATTGCCCTCCAGGGTCTCCTCCCCTGGTTCCTTCCTTCCTTCCTTCCCATGGCCGACAGTCACCGGGTCCTGCGGATATAGCCAGAGGAATATCTCCCAGACCATCCTTCCTTCTCCGTCCCCCTTCCCTGTCACTAGGGACATCCGTGGTCAAGGCCCACATTGGGCCACCAGACTCCCGTGGCCTACTGGGGCAGCGCCTTAAAGGCAAGCCCAAGCTGTGCCGGCCCTCGGTGTCAGACACCACCCAGGATTGCCAAATGGTGAGCTGGCTGTTAATGAAGGTGACAATGGTGCCCACCCTCACCCTCTTACACCATCAGTGTGAAGAGCAGCTGCCTCTAAGAGTGGTCACTGTGGTCTGTTTCCGTTAAGAAGAGGGTTGTGCGGCATCCTGCTACAGGGTAGGGTCTGACCTTTTGGGCCAGGTGGCCGTCCACCAGACAGCACAGCTGCTCCCAGATGTGCACAGGGTTGGAGATAATAACCGGGCAATTTTATCAACTCTAGACATGTCTCCACTGCAGCCCATGGGCTTGTGGCCTGGGGTCTCGGTCTAAACCTGTGCAGTGTATCCATGGGGGCACTTAGAAAGATTGTGGGGAGTGAGGCATTTTGCTTTTTTTTTTTTTTTTTTAAAAATAAAAAAGCCTCAGGGTGGTCTTTCCAGCCACAGCAGCATCATGTAATTAGAAATACAGATTGGGCCCATCCCACAGCTGCTGAATTAGCCTTCAGGTAGCAAGGCCCGTGTGGTAGTGAGAACTGTGAGTGATCAAATGCACAATGTCTGAGAAACTCTGCCTGGGGCCCTGACACAGCCTCAAGGCAGTGCTGAAAGCACCTTGAGATCACAGGGCTGGGCACAGTGCCTGGTCCCAAATAACAAGAAACCCACAGCCTGCTCTGTGACAGCCATCATGGGTAGGGGCAGAAATGTCTTCTTACTGGAAGTTGTCCATAAAATAGGAAACACGGGCCCCTCCTGGTAGCACAACAGACACTAGAAAGCTGTCCGCAGCCACTGCAGCACAAGTTCAATCCCCGGCCAGGGAGCTGACCCACATGGTGCAGCAGGCCTCTCCTGTCTCTCCTGCTGCTCCCCTCAGCAAGTGTATTTCTGTGGATCTGCCTGTTCTGCTCCCCACTCTGTCTCTGGTGAATCCTCTCACCCCCTGCACCTCTGGCCTATACCCCAGTTCTTGTGTGCATAAATAAATACATCTTTAAAAAAAATAAAAATGAAATAGGAAACACGTGGGAGTTGAGTTGAGGAAGGCTTGAACACAGGGGGCTCCACTTAACAGGGACACAAATTATGTCTAGAAATTGATTTCTAAGGACCGTGGGCCACAGCTGGGGACAGTTTGGGTTGTTGTTATGGTTGGGGGCAGGACATTGACATGGAGTGGGTGGAGGCCATGAATACTGTCACCACCTCAGTGATAGGAACCCCCACAAAAGAAGGGTCCACCCCAGCATTAGCACATGCATATCCCCATTCTGCTTTGGTAGAGCAGAGCAGTGGAGTGGTGGGGAAAAATCTGTGCAGATTTTAACATCATGAAGGCAGTGTGGAAGTCAGCTGACATGTACACACAGCTCAGTAGAGCTGGGCGCAGCCCCAGGGTTGTTTCACGGAGTCCTGGCACAGCACACCTGGTGGGACGTGTGCAGAATCCTTAGGGCCAACGTCCAGCCGTGATGCTGGGCCCCATTGGACTGCTTGCTTTGCTTCTCCTCAGCCATCTTCCCCCAGCACTGATTACCATCTGTCTGGCTCCCTGCAGGGTCCCCAACTTGCCCATAGGAACCACCACCAACCTTCCGCTCCCCCAGTGAGATCCAGACTTGGAACCTGGGCCGTCTGAGGGCAGGGAGGCTCTTGACCACCTGTGCAACCCGGGGAGAGGCAGGTGACCCTGGGTCACCTTTCCCCTGTGGAACAGGCCTCTACACCTGCAGCGTCCTAACCGGGGTTAAAGGAGGGCGTGCTGGCCAAGGCCAGGGCAGCCGTGGGGCTGCTGGGTGTGCGTGCAGTGCCTCCTGGGGGCTTGGTTGTGGGTGTCTAACCCAGACGGTGCCCTCTTTCTGCTGCAGATGATGTGCGGTTGTTTGCCTTCGTGCGCTTCACCACCGGGGACGCCATGAGCAAGAGGTCCAAGTTTGCCCTCATTACCTGGATCGGCGAGAATGTCAGCGGGCTGCAGCGGGCCAAAACGGGCACGGACAAGACCCTGGTGAAGGAGGTTGTGCAGGTAGAGTCTGGGGAAGGGGAGAGCTGTATTCTGTTAGGGTCCGGGGAGGGTCACTTTCCGGCAGGGACAGAGGGGCTGGGTTTGGCTCTTGGGTCTGTGGCTTCTCTGGTCCCCTACAGCCACAGGTAACCTGTGGCCAAAATTGTTTTCAGGGTACAGCCTGGGAGGCAGGTAGCCGAGTTTGGGATCCTGACCACCACATAGTAGGAACGTGGCATCGGCGAGTACTGTGAGGACAGGCCGGCCACTTTTGGGGAGGGAGGCTGGTGGATGACCAAAATGGCAGCTGCCAGATTGAATGGCTGATGCTCATGAATGACTTCCACTAGTGCCTGGGGACCCAGTGGGAAAATTCATGCTTGCCCTGCCGAACTGCCAGGCGCATGGGCATGTGGTAACACTGTTGAATGAATATTTGTCAGCTTGATGGGGGTCTTTGCAGAAGGTGGCTGGGATGACCAAAATGGCAGCAGCCACCTAGGCCATGGCCCTGGATGACTTCCACTGGTGGCCGGGAGACCCAGTGGGAAAATCGAGTCTCTGAACTGCCTGGCTTGGTGCTGGTGACATTTGACGAATGAATAAATGTCAACCTGACGAGGGCCAGCAGAGGACTGATGGTTGGTGGCCACAGAACGACTCAGGCTGTATAGACAGTGGCACGGACTGAGGGGCTGGGCATGGCCCAGGTGGACTTATTCCCCAAACCCCTGCCAATCCCTGTTAGACTGAGAGGGAAGAAAGAGCAGGAGCTGGGTATACTTGTAGGGCTCTCTGTGGTGAAGGGTTTTTCCCCCTCATCCCTGCCATGATGGAAACAGACTCTATTGGAAACTTCCAAGGAGGTTCATTTGGGACCGGGACTTGGAGTCATTCATGAGAGGAGAGCCTTTCAAGAGAAGAAAGCCTGAATTCTGTATAGTACTCAGCTATTAAAAAAAAAAAAAAAAAGAGCTCTTGCCTGTGGCGGCAACATGGATGGAACTCGAGGGGAGGGTGCTACTCAAAGTCAGAAAGGCAGTTCCAGATGGCTCCTCTCCTGTGTGGAATATCAACAAAGCAAAGGAACGTACAGATCACAGCAAAAATAGCCCTTAGGCTGTGTGCAAGGTGGTGGTTCCCGCGGGAGGAGGAGAGGAAAGGAAAAGGGGATCTGTCTGATAGCGCAGGCCACTAGTGCTTTGCTGGTGGGTGAGGTGAGGGTTATTCATGCACACAGGTGGAAGTGTAACCCCAAAGTGTCTGTTGCATTGTAAATCAATAAATGTTTAAGATTAAAAAAAAGGAAAATCTGAGTTCTGGTAAAGGGCATGGCTAGGGAAGATTAGGTGAGGGAGTCATCTCTTTATCAAAGGGTACTCCATTTTGCAAGAGGTTCTTTCAGGGCCCTCCCTCGTGGTGCAGCACTATGCAGCAATCCACAGCCACTGCAGCACGAGTTCGATCCCCAGCCAGGGAGCTGACCCACATGGCACAGCAGACCTCTCCTGTCCCGCCCACTGCTCCCCTCAGCAGTGTGTTCAGTACATCTACCTGTTCTGTGCCTCACTCTGTCTCTGGTGAATCCTCTTACCTGCCACACCTCTGGCCTGCACCCCAGTTCTGTAAGCATAAATAAATAAATCTTTAAAAAAAATGGAGTGAAACCCCATTTCCCTGCTTCACTGCAGCCTGCAGATCACACTCCAGTCTGTAGCTTTTTTGGCTGTTTTTTTTTAATTTAGTATAATTTCATGAATTGTTTGGGTCTGGAGTGTTTCTGTGGTTGACTGTCCCATTTCAAAGTGCTCCAGAAGTACGGCGTGTTCTCTGGTCGTCAGCTCCTGAGTTGCCATCCATTTTTATTTTTATAAATAAGGTTCTCACCAACATGGCACATGGCTCCTTTCTGCTTCCCACTGAGTGATTCCTTTGGGATACATTTTTACAAAGTGGGGTTCTGGAGTTATAGGTGTAAAGATGCCTTTAAAGAGGTATTAGTTGACTATGGTGATGGCACACGGGTGATTTGGTGATGGAAGCCCACGGGGATTACAACTGAGATGGGAAAAGGCACAAAATGATGTAAAGATAAACTATTATCTTTTTGTGCTTTTTTCTTTACATCATTTTGTGCTTTACATCATTTATATTTATATATATATATATAAAAGGTATGAGTTGTCTGAGGGCCTTCAAAAGGGTTGACACTACACGTGGGAGAGAGTCGATATTCGCTAAATGGCATTTATTCCACATTCTGTCCAGCGAAAGTTACTACTGCAGCCTGTACCCCCTCGGTGCTGACACCCTGGCTTGGAAGGGTCACCTGCTCTACCAACAGGGTATTTTTCTCCAGGCCAGTTTGGATTTTTATGGCTAATGAGCTTTTGGGGTCTCCTGCTGCCTTGCCCCTCCGTGCTCAACCCTCCCATTGGCCACCCAGGGTGTGGCCAGGAGAAGGGACATGGGGCCAGAGTTGGCCAGATGTGTCTGTGGGATCTTGCAGAGCTCCTATCTCCTTCCCCTTTTCAAAACTGTGGCAAGACATCATAACATAAAGTGTATCATTTTAGCCTTTCTGAAGTGTGTCATCCAGTGGCGTTAACACACTTGAGTTTGTGCACTTATCACCATTGTCTAGTTCCAGAGCTTTCTCATCACCCCCAAAGGAAACCATGTGCCCATCAGCAGCCTGCAGAGTTCCCCTACAATCTAGAACTTGTCTCAGTTTGGTTAAGTGGGCTAGTGATAGGGGATGATGGGAGGAAATGTGATTCTTGGGTGGGAACAGGAATGCTCAGCTGGGAGTATTGCTTATAATTCACTTGTACTCAAAGCGAAATTATCTGGCTCTCAGAACTGGGATGTGTGGGGCTTGCTGGTTTTAGGTGTGGCTGGATCCAGACTCAAACAGTGTGAGTCCTTTCATCTGTTTTCTCTGGGTTTGGTCTCAGGCAGCTTTAGTATAGCAGGAGACAGGGCCCAGGCCATTGCAGGGGTTCTTGTGGGTCTTGATCCCGCAGATAGAGACACCTCTTTGCTCAATGTCTGTCACTGCCTTAAAGGGCCCAGTTGGCCCAACTTGGGTCACATCTGGCAGGGAGGTAGGGTTTCCTGATTGACAGCTCTGGTGTGATTTCAGTTCAAAGAAATAGATGCTGGTGGAGGAAAAGCACAGATTCCATGTGGGTAGGGGAGGGAGACTCTGTCTTAAACTGCAGGTCCAGTAGAATGTTTTGACCATCACCCCTTGCATTTTCCACTCTGTGTTTAAAGGTTTATTGTCTGGAGCTGCAAGACCTCACATTTATACTGTGGTTGCAAAAATAGCCATTGAAGTTACAAAGGGTCAATTATGCCCACATAATGGGATCTTTGGGCAGCGGCTAAAATCCTGCCGATGCTGCACTTGAGGGTGTTGCCCTCTGTTCCAGAGGGTGCAGAGCAGCTGTTCCCTGAAGAACCTTCCAGACTGGCCGTCCTGGATTCTATGTCTGGGACAGTCACCTTCCCAGCTGCCTCTGCTACTATTAACATATGTAGAATAAAGGGACTGGCTTTCAGTTGAAGGATTTAAAAAATATATATATATATTTATTTATTCATGCATACAGAACTGGGGTACAGGCCAGAGGGACAGGGGCCGTGAGAGGCTTCACCAGAGACAGAGTGGGGAGCAGAACAGGCAGATCGATGAAGTACGCTGCTGAGGGGAGCAGCAGGCGGGTCAGGAGAGGTCTGCCGCGCCATGTGGTCACCTCCGGGGCAGGTGGGGATAGAACTCATGCTGAAGCGGCTTTAGCTTCTTAGTACTGTGCTTTAACCCGCTGCGCCATCAGGGAGGGCTCTCGGTTGAAAGTTTTTAACACACCCTTGACTTTCTTTGTCATACACATATTGTCCCTGTGCCCCTTCCTTTGTATGAAACCAGAGCGCGTCAGTGGTGTGGAGACACTGAAATCAAACAGGATGGATGTTTATGCCACTTACTGCCTGCCTGACGGTGGCCAGTCACCCTTCCTTCCTGGTCTTCATTATATAAAATGAGTGGAATGAGTTGACTTGCTGTGTCATTTTCTGTTTTGACACATTATGGGATTTAATATATATATACATATATATTTAATATATATTACATATATATTTTATATAAATATATATATAAAATAGTTTATTTTTACATATTTTTGTGCATTTTTCCATCTTATTTGCAATCCCCTTGGGCTTTCCATCCCCAACTCACCCATGTGCCATTACCATAGTCCAATTCATTCCCCCCCACCACTGTTTTTGATCCCATTCCCCACTCCACCCCCACAAACTGTCTCTGGTCCATAGCTGTTCATTATTATCATTATTTTCTCACCTGTTCCATTATATTCCTGCTATGAGTGAAGCCATCCGGTATTTTTCCTTTTCTTTCTGGCTTATCTCACTAAGTATGATCTTTTCCAGCTCCATCCATGTTGCTGCAAAAGACATGTGTTTATTTTTTTTTGGTTGCTGAGTAATATTCCATTGTGTATATGTACCACATCTTTTTAATCCAGTCATCTACTTTTGGGCATTTGGGCTGTTTCCATATCTTTCCAATTGTGAATAAAGCAGCGATAAACATGGGGGTGCCCGTGTCTTTTTGAATCAGTGCTTTTGTGTCTTTTGGGTAGATACCTAGGAGTGGGACTGCTGGGTCGTAGGGAAGCTCCATGTTTAGCAGTGTGAGAACCCTCCAACAGTTTTCCATAGTGTTGTACTCGTTTGCATTCCCACAGCAGTGCAGGAGAGTCATTCTGGGGTTTTTAAAAACAATGCAATACTTTATTTCTGATGGCATCTTACCTGTCAAGGAAGCTGTGTGACTTTTTCAGTAAAGAGACAGTGTCTGCTGTGGTCTGGTCTGTGGAGCCAGGTGACCTGGGTTCTGCTCCCAGTGCCCCCTCTTACTGTGTGGCCTTGGGCACATTGCTTACCCTCTCTGGGCCTCAGGGCCCAGAGGTTCCAAACAGGGCAAAATAGGA